GATTAACACAGTCGAAAGCTTTACTGTAGTCAATGAAACACATATAGACGTCCTTTTGATATTCCTGGGTCTTCTCCATGATCCAACGTAAATTTGCGATTTGGTCTCTAGTGCCGCGTCCCTTGCGAAAACCAGCTTGAACTTCCGGCAGTTCCTTATCGACAATCGTTGCAATGCGATTCTGTATGATCTTCAGAAGGATTTTACTTGCGTGAGATATGAGGGCGATAGTACGGTGGTTGGAACATTCCTGGGCATCGCCTTTTTTTGGAATAGTGACAAAGACTGATCTTTTCCAGTCCTTGGGCCACGAATTGGTGGACCAGATTTTTTGACATAGGTCTGTTAAAAGCTTAATCGGCACTGCTTTTAGTAGTTCAACAGGAAGATGGTCGATTCCAGAGGCTTTTCCGTCTGGTAGTTGTTTCAAAGCCCACTCGACTTCTTCCTCAAGAATGCATGGTTCTTGTTCGACCTGACATGCCTGTTCCATCGGTCCTATTTGATGGTCTGAGTACAGCTCTTCTGTGTATTCCCGCCATCTACGCTTGATTTGATTTTTGTCATGTAATAATTTTCCATCGTGGTCCTTGATGGCCGCTGCTTTGCGTGCTGCAAACGGTGCCCTGGTCTGTTTCACATAGGTGAAAAGAGCTCGTGTATGACCTAACTTGTTTGCTTCTTCCAGCTTTGCACATTGATTGTTCCAGTAATGTTCTTTGTCTTCTCTGGCTTTCCTTTGAAATATCGCATTTAGCCTTCTGAATTCTGTGCTGTTACCAGTAGCTTTGGCTACTCTGCGCAAGTTGGCGATTTGGATCAATTCGTCCGATATCCACTGAGTTCTTCTTCCTGGTTTTTTCAAAGGGACTATTTTTTCCGCTGTATTTTGTGTGATGGCTTTGATTTCCTCCCAAAGTTCGTCGGGGTCTTTTCCAGTTGTGCAGAGCACTTCAAAACTTTTCTTGATTTCAACGGCATAAAGTGGAGGGATGTTACCTGTATCAAAGCAACGTGTTGCTGTAGGCTGTCTGGTGTTTTTGATGCGTAGTTTGATTTTAGCAACAAGGAGCTGGTGGTCTGAGCCACAATCTGCTCCAGGAGATGTTTTTACAGCCAATACTGAGCTTTTCCATCGCTGTTGGCACAGGAAATAGTCGATTTGATTACGATACACACCATTTGGAGCTGTCCATGTGTATAGACGCCGCTTTGGTTGTTCGAACCATGTGTTCATGATTGCTAAATGATTTTCTGAACAACATTGAACCAGGCGATCGCCAGCGTCATTCCGCACACCCAGCCCGAATTTGCCAACATATGGACTATCTTCACTGGAACCGACTTTTGCATTAAAATCCCCAGTTATGAAAATGACATCCTTGGTGGGAGTCTGTTCGATTGCTTGTTGGAGATCGAAAAAAAAGTTCTCAATCTCTTCATCCTCCGCGTCGGTTGTGGGGGCATAGACTTGTAAAACTGTGATTGAGCGAGGTTTCCCATTGATACGTATGGCTATGATCCTATCATTTATTGCCTTGAAACCTTGAACAGCTTTGGTGACTGCCTTGGCCGTGATAAAAGCTACTCCTTTTCGCTTTATTCTATCATTTCCGGAATAAAAAACAGTGTAATCATCGCTGTTGAAATAGCCATTTCCTTTCCAGTGAAGTTCGCTGATGCCCAGAAGATCGATGTTAAGCCGTTGCATTTCCTTTTTTACAATTTCCAGTTTGCCCGTGTTCATGCCACGGACGTTCCATGTTCCAAAAATGTGGATTCTTGATAAGCGCAGACAGGTCCTTTCTCTTAAAGCTACATCAGCAGATAGGAGTCCTAATGGATTTGTCCTACCCGCGTCATTAGTGCCTGAGCTACTCGAAACACTGCCTTGCTCTTCCCTGGTAGCTGTATGAGTACCTTCTGGCCCAGGGGTCCTGCCATCCGACACTATACGTGAGAGCGTTTCGTCGTGATCCATAGAGTATTTCGGCAAAAAATATTTGGAGTAGTTTGCCATTGCTTTCTCCAACCCTCCCCATTTATCCGGGCTTGGGACCGGCGTGCAGCTGTTTCCAGTTACACGGTTTGTGAATAAATAACATTAAACTAAGTACAAAGATGCTGTGCATCATCATTGATCTTCTCTCGGTAATAAACCCATTTGTTGTTTAATCCAGCTACCAGGTGACCACACAGATCAATATGGAGCTACAAAGACCTTACCTTTACACGTCAACCGTTTTGGTTCTGTTACTACTAGGCCTGTCGCGATAAATAACAAATCAATTATTCGCATGATGAATGAAAATTATCAACCTCATTTTCATTTATTGTCTTATCGTTTCTTCATGTCTCTCTCTTTCTACTGAAGACGCTGGATGACAACAAACTAAACTCCGGTGCTCTTTACTGACCCCTCCCTTTCTCTTTAAATTCCATTTTAACCGTCAAAAAGCACGTTTTTGGATCATTAAAAGCAGCTAAGCTACGAGCTAAGCTAACAGGTCGACCTCGGGAAAAAACCTCCGTCTTGTAGAAGCTCCAAAATTCACGGTTGAAACATGTGCCTTCGTGTAACAAGTTGTTTTTCTCTGTAAAGAGAAGCTGAGAACTTGTTTACTGAGTTTTTATTAAAAGCTTTGTGTGACAAATGCTATGCTAAAGAGCTCAAAACATTCCGAGTGTCCGCCATTTTGAAAACCAAAAAACAAGAACAGACGGCCCATGTCACAAGGGGCCTCCCTCCCATTTTTCTTGAAGAGACACGCTGCTGCTCGCTCCCTCACTATCATGAATCCTTCGGTTTAAACAGTCTTTTTTTTCTGCCATTGAGTGCTCAAAAAAGGTACTACATAGAAATTAACCTACTTTTCTTCTTAAATTTGACAATTACTAATGTCAAAATTCAAACAATATTATCGTTTATCGCAACAATTTCTGAGAAAATTAATCGCCCAGCAAAATTTGTTATCGTGACAGGTCTAGCTACTACCTCACTTCACAGCACAAAGGTATATCAGAGGTGGGTTGGCTCTGACCCCCTCACAGCCTAATTTAATTTAGCACCGATAATGACCAGAAGGTGTCTAAGTCCAGGCTTGGGGTGTTTCATGAAAGATCGGAGTGTAAAAACAGGGCTTCTCACAGCTGCTTAGGACCCCCACATTCACGTCTTCATCAACTAGCAAGATGCTCCCACAACCTCTCCACATCCTCTAAGCTTTCACCTTCCCCTACCCTCTGGATTCATCAGAACCGTTGAAGCCACTAAAATGTTAATTTTCCCTCTAATTTACCGTTCCATTTGCTTCTATCGGTAACAATCATTATGTATCAGCCAGGGAACAATAGGACCTGGGACATTTTAGGTCACATGTCTTTCAGATAGATGGGTTAGGTGTGATACTGTTATTTCACCATCTAGTTTAGTTTAGTTTACAAAACACAAATAAATGACACCCCATCTAGTGAGGATGCACATGTGTATGAAGTTTCATGAAATTATCTTCAGTGGATCAGAAGTTTTTGCCTGGACAAGTGAATGTTTATGGACAGAGACTGTACCGTTATATATCTGACGTTCGATAGGCGTATGACAAAAATAGGGGAGCAAAATCTGAAAGATACAAATCTAATAAAATTCCTTTATGGAATGCAAATAGACCGTTGCCTTTCAAGTCAACGTTTTAAACAAAGATCTTGTGCAATCTGTAAGATTATGGAGTATGTGTTGGGAATGAGTCTCAGCTACTACCACATCAAATGTTAGTGTAGTACCTTTAAAACTGACTGAGACGTGAAATCCTTACATTTAGTGCCAGAAATCAGAAACTTCACATTGAGCTCTACTTTGCTACTAACAACACTATTAACTACAGGACACTATGACATCTACAACTAGTTTGATGCAAAACTTACATTTATAGGTCAGATTTAACCCAATTCATTTATTTATCATAACAGCAGCCCTGAATGTCAGGGGAGTCCTCCAGAGCTATGTGTTTGTGATTGTTACTTTATTTTATTAGTTTTATATTTGAGTCCAGACCAAAGTGAAAGATCAACCAACCAGAGCTGAAATGTGTTGCAGTTAGGTCTAAGAGTGATTTTATTACAAAATAAGTCTCAGACAAAGTATAATAAATATGTTGTCACTTTTTTCTTTCTTTCTTTTGTGCACAGTGTTACCAAAAAACAGATCAAATGAGTCAAGTGCGCCACTTCAGCAAAGCAGGTGTAGCAAGCTGCTGAAATGATTTTGTCAGAGGGGAGAAAAAAACGAGAGTGCATCTGAGACCAATGATGGGTTTGAGATCATTCCCTTTCACACTCTTCTGCCACAATCTGACGAGGAAGCACGAAGTGAGAGGAAAAAAGGGAACAAATGAAGAGTGTGTGTGTGTGTATTGGGGGGGGGGGGGGGGGGG